TTTAGGCGACGACAGATAAGCGCCCATATAGAAGGAAAACCCAACTAACCCAGAGAGACCTATGACCCCACTAGACCCCATTACAACTCGCTGCGTTTGCTAAGTTGCTTGCGAGCCAGAGTTAAACTGTACCGAGCAGGTGCCCAGCAATGAACGCCTTCACTCACTCCAACCCTAGACACTAACCATACGATCAGTGCTTTGAAGTAAGTCAGTCGTGACGGAGCTAAACCCGTCACGAGGTGATCACTGTCACACGCACATCTACTCCAGGAGAGCTAGAGTGTGAGCCCGAATTGAACACATAAAACTCGAGATGCAGGACAACCTGTACAGGAACGTGTAGCCAAAAATGACGAGGAAACACACAGTAGAGGCGCCAAATGCCCTGGTAGCAATACAGTGGAGTGGTAGACACCTCGAGGGATGCAGTTATGCAGAACTGACGAAATCTTGGCCGACTCGGTCAATCTCGCCCATCACTATATCAACATCATCATAACTAACATTTCGTGGCGAAGTGAAAGTCCATCTGAGAAAGATCGAGCCAAGTTCGAATACCACCGACAGCACTTTGCTACTCCTACCGGAAAAAGTTGTATGGCCCAGTGAAGGTAATCATAGCGAGGCCATCCCGTTGCATCTTGTCTTTGATATAAGGTGTGACCTGAGCATTACCATCCCGAACCCAGTAGACCACGAGCCTACCTTCGTGAGCTCAACAGCATCCTCGGCATTCAGTCCTTCCAAAGGCTTCAAGTGCGATAGAGAGGGAGGCAAATACCTACCATTCGATAAGAACCTTTGCACTCGAGTCATGGCCTCGACTACGACAGTTTTGATTCAACAAGTACTAGTTTATCGCTACACCCACTCCCTGTTCGAATTCTAATTTAGCTTTGCTCCTAAGACGTATCGGAACTGCTCTCAGCTACCAATCCATATAAAGATGGCGAATGTGAGTTCAGCACTGCTCCCATTGATTGATCATACACTTACCAGAAGCATACATTAGCGTATTCAGGATCCCGATACAAAACGAACGAGCCTTTGAATCGATTGGACGACTCAACGGAAGACTTCCTCATCGAATTAGCAGCGTATCTCGCCAAGCTGATGCCTGAAAGCACAAACACAGCGACTGTGTTACCAGGTTCATGCATGTGTAAAACATCATCAGGAACGTAACACTAGGAACTACAGGTATTCATAGGAAGAATGGGTCGCAAACTTTGGTGGTGCGCCTGCAGAGCTCCTGCACCTCTGCAGCTGGCCCACAGCCAAGTCCGAAGACCAAACATCTGGATGCATAACGAGGGCCCAAATCAGTCCAAATCCACACATTCCTCCAATGCAAATGGACCCGCTAAAATACGGTGGCTGCATCCATGGCGACACGGGGCTATAACGAACTTCACAGTTAAGATGGTGTGACGATGCTCGTGATGGTCTGCTCGTCTACCCCACAGTTAACAGCTTCCGCCTTCTCCGAGTAGTATACATTCGGCAATCCCTGCTCCATTAGTAATGGACCACTACACCTTGAAATTCCGGATGTATGATGGCTATTCCAACAAGCTGGCTCAGTCTATCAGATCTGAGCCCTCGTCGCAAAGAACTCGATATCCCCGTGGATCTGGACAAACAGCGTTTACACGCTTTGATCTTGAGTAACCCCCAAGGTCAAAGCGCCCCTCCATGGGGGCGGCGACGAGCAAGGTACATGGTCAGAGTCATCTTCGTCGTTGCTTCGTGGACAATTGACAAGGGGACACGCCGCGCTCGGCGAGGCGTGAGGAATGAGCCACTACATTCAGTCGAAGAGTTTCCGAGCCTCCTCTACAATTTCCTATCGGGGGTGGGTCGATGACAAGTATCGGGAAAAAAGTTCCAGAAAACTGAGGCCGCATATTTCATGAGTGCAGTTTTTGCATACGTAACGTGCAACCTACATTCGTATTGCAAGTGAAAGGGAACAGGGCAAACAAACCAGGTGATGAGTCATCACCTGGTGACCACAAAGTCCATGGAGGGAACATCTGTCGGATTCACACTGCACGCGTACGTCGCTAGCGTCACTAAGTCGCGCCTGCGTTAATGTTCCTGTGGTCGCGGGAAGTGACCGCCAGTCGCGTCTCGACAACGACACAGCGTAAACCACATGCCCTTTTTTCGAATGGCGAGCAGTGTGGTAAAATTTGCAAATGATCAACCACATGTGTTGGTGATAATATCAAAACTCTGAGGAAATTTTGTTAGTTTCTGTACACTTTTCTCCCGGATTCGTATATAAACTCCTGTGATTAGCGAGGAAATTTTTGAGCTCAGCTGAGGAAAGCGAA